ACACTATTATGGTGTTAAGCACTTTTTACTGAATGTTTAATTCATTACTCTAGATGAATTACTACTAACTGTTAACATATAGTAAATGTACTTGAAATGTCAAAGTTCACTTACATGTATTGAGGAACATTTTGCTACATCATGTTGTTTGATATTTAATATTTGAAATATGCAGGAACATTACTGTCAGAATATTTAAATTTCATTTATGTTCTATAGAAAAATGTTGAACACATTAACCTATAGATGGTGCCTCAGATAAGCACAATCAAATGCTCTTAAATATTGAAAAAGTACAGCTTAAGTTTTATAATCTGACTGCGAATAATACACTAAAAACAATACATTCAGTCCCTCCAGAAAAAAGGGGTTTGGCGATCACATAATTCTACGCATAATCAGACAAAGTCTGCATATTTATGCGGGGGCTGCATTTTTTCAAAGACGCCGCACTTTCGCCGCATACATCATCGATTTCCGCGCAAAATGCGCGAAATATGCGGGGCTTGCATGATTTCACAATCCCTGCATTTTTGTTGCAAAAAAGTCACATATATCTTAGCAGAAAGTTGAAAAATGTTGCGTTTACTTCACAAAAGAGCAGCCATTTTCCCCCTGTTGCCTTGGGAACGTCATGAAGTAACGTAATTACACAACGTGAACGTTGAGGGAGAGGGGATGGAGGATGAGGATGGCAAATGATTGGCCAGTGTTAGAGGCTACGCAGTTATAGTTTTCATTTTCACAGTGGACTGTTGTAGTTTCATTCATGAGTTGATGCAACTTTACGGTTGTAAGATTGCTCTTTTTTGTTACCGGTGGCTTAACCCTATGGGCCCAAACGATGCATAGTGCTTCCAAATTCACACCTGTTCTTCTCTATGGATTTCTCCGTGACCGTGCGTCATAGACAATTAATCTGGATATCACATTAAACAGCGGAATTGTAGCTTTCCGAGAAGACCAAGCACTTGTCGGTAGTCCAATGTTTGCACAGCGAAAAACAATGATAAAGTTATACTAAAATTATGTATAACAGAGCTTTCATACAGCTTTGCACACACATTACTCTTGGATGGATTACTCGTGAATGCAGTCTCGCACAGAAATGCCACACATATAACATGAAAGTGCAGGAGCAAAGCTTTCCAGTGATACCACACACATCATTGTGCTGTCATCCCATCACGCTATAAATCCAGATTAATTGTCTACAAAGTAAAAACCTGACGAATTTCTTTACAATCCATTATACAGATCTTGTTATCAGTCACTTCATATAGTGAGGAATATTGTATCTTACCACGTCTTAGGCTTGCGTGTGTTTCTCCCTGTCTATCCACATTTGTAGTCCAGCTTTCAAGATGCAAATATCTCCATATTGTCCAGTTGACACTCCATCAAACTTTGTATGACAAGACCAGCCACTTCACCTTTGCGCACACAGACAACTGAGGCCTAATTATGCATGCTGACAGGGCCGTAGTCACCATATATATTGAGGGGGACATGTGTCCCCCCCCCCAATGCCCAAAATGTCCCCCAATATATAACTGAAACTGAAAAACAACAACAAACTTTGTTTACTGCAAACAAAGTGGCAAATATTATCTTGGAGGACATCATTGCACTTGGTTGACAATTTTTTTATGATCTTAGATGTAAATATTGCATGTTTCTTTCAGATAAAACACATTTTTGACTTGTGAATGAGTCAATGGAATTTCTTGCAATAATGAAAAAATACTGGCAATCATGTCC